TTACGCGGGCGACATGGCACGTATTTGGGGTCTCACGGTTTCTGTCTGGTCTGGGACGCACATCCTTGCAGATGTCAGGCAAGTCTATCACGCTCATATTCAAAGGCTCCTGAGCATACTCAGTTTGCATTGTATGTGCTTTAGAGGCGATGAGTCTTTTCCTGTCGGACGTCTGGGCTGTGAATTCACGCATGTTCAAGACTTCAGCATATGGTGTCTCCAACATCACGTATCTAGCGATTACAGGGATCTGTTCCAGGGTCCACATTCCTGGTCTGCACTGCTTCATGAGACTGAGGGTCCATAGTGTGAGCTTTACAAACTCCTTCACGTTCCTCTTCTGCATGTTGGCAGTGGAACCTTCAATGCACGATGGGCTAGCATGCCAGTACATCGAGCTCCACTGCTCTCGCGGTATATATTCGCTGATCAAGTCCATTGTGGCCTTGAATGATTTGCCCAGTATGTGATTTACAACAGTCACTCCTGGGAAAGTGTTTCGGTGAATCTCGTTGCTGAGCTCGCAGTTGTCTATGGCTAAGACGACTTTGAACGCCGCCCCATGCTTTTCCCAAGCTCTCTGCAACCCCTTATCGAATCCACCGATTCCACTATAAAATACTATTACTTGGATAAAGGTCAGGGGGAGCCATTTCAACTTGGAGAACTTATGCTCGACACTAGAGGCTCTTTCTGCCACTTGTTTCGTAGCGTCGTCGTCCAAATGAAATACTTCCCCGGTGCGGCTGTCTGCCGAACCTGTGACCACTCCGCTAATGACATTGGTTTCTCCTAGTTCCTGTCCGCGTTCAATCCTGATAGGTAAGTTCTGGTGCGTATTCTTGACGTAAGTCTGTCCATGACGCGTACCGTCTCCTTCCCACATGAATCCTCCGATGTCAGTTCTACTCCTTCCTACTAAGACCATTCCATTGCGGTGATTTTCCGGGTCATCAGTGTGGGGGTTGTCCGCCCATTCACCCTTGATAGCACAGTCGTATTGATCGTCAACCCACTGGCCTTCAGGGATTTTCGCACTGAATTTCACTTTGATCACCCGCTCTTCTCCGGGTCTCAGCGACAAGGTCGCTGTGGAGTAACATGTCACTCTCTTGTGTTGCTTGAGGTCGGGCATTACCCTACCTACTTCCGTTTTCAAATTGTTATACATTTCTGATTTTTATTTTTATTTGGTTTTTATTTTTCTGTTTTCTGGTTTTTACTTGACTTGTTTGGTGCGCCAGTGGCGCTTTCTCCTAAATTTGGGACTCTCCCCTCGTGGCC